GTCCAAATTCCCTCAGGTACCCCGCCTGCGCTCGGAGGCCCAAGTCGTCGTGGTGGAGTATCTAAAAATAAGTAAGAAAAGATTTGATTCGGACTTGAAATTACAAATAACAGTCGACCTTCATAAAGTAAATCAGATACAAACAAAAAAGCTCAAATATCAAGTGTAAGATTCTACTTATGAAGATATTTTATAGCATACTAAACGGGATCAGCATAGTTCTTCTATCTAGCAATTGAGATTTTTTGGCTGATGAAAAGGAACTCTGCAAAACAAACTCACTATCAGAAGCTGGTGGTGGAGGTGCAGGAGCCAGATTACTTCGCCATGATGTGTCCTTGTCTGCGTTGGTCAATGGGACAGCTAAATTTTTTGTAGGAATGCTATGAGAGGAAACTAAATGACTCTAAAACTTACGTGTCGCGCGTTCACGTTCACGTTCACGTTCGCGGTCACGGTCGCGGTCGCGGAAGCCAGATGGTGGTGGGGGTGCAGCAGGCCCTGTGTTCATACCACGCCTCCACGAACTATCTCTATCCGCTTCAGATATGATATTCTGAATGATAAAGAAGATAGTAGAAATCTACGCATAATATAAGGTCATAACTTGCCTCTCGTTCACGCATTGGCGGACGCTCACCCAAGTCACGATCCCGACCCGGCATCGAACGAATTGGGATTGCTTGACGCTCGCGCATTCCACCACGCCAATCAGAATCAGCCATAGCCTTGGAATCCATATCCATTTCTCGACGATTTGGACCCTGTAAGATCAAAATCGACTGAATGCCTGGTTGATATAACAATCAACAGCTGGACATCATTGTTAGCAGTTGGATATTACTTTTAGACAATTTGTATGATTTTAGTAAAAAAAGAAATAGAAATATACAGCATCTCACTATAAACCGCGCAATATCAGGAATTTAAGAGAAACAATTTGCATACAATCCTAACATGTAAAAGCATAACTAACCCGAGGTTCTCTTGCAGCACGTCGCTGCTCATCTATCAGTTGCTGACGTTGGCGTTCTTCCTCCTCACGACGACGACGCTCCTCATCAATTTTAGCCTACGAAGGATATCACATAAAAAATGATGAACATGATTGCAGCATGTCTC